TATTGGGAGGAAAACACAACAGCCACTCGGTCTTCTCCGAGTTGAGTACAAGCTTGTTAGCCCTCATCCAGTCAAATATTTCACCACTTTTATCTGTAATTACATTTACTCTTTGCTTAACCATCTTCTCTTTCAAAACATGTTTAATTTGCATCCATGTGACTCTGCATTTCACTTTTAATCTTAAGCATTGCTTACTCTCTTTGACCACTTTGTGGCAACTCTCTCTCATCTATCTCTTATCTATCTAACTCTTTATCTATCTATCTATCTATCTATCTATCTATCTATCTATCTATCTATCTATCTATCTATCTATCTATCTATCTATCATCTATCTATGCATCCATCCATCCATCCATCCATCTATCCTTTCTTTCTATTATCTTTCATCTACTGTATGCAATATCTCTGTCATCCTTTTTTGCAGCAATTATTCTATTGTGTCCATTTTTCTCATTCACACCCACCTTCACTCTATCATTCCACCAAGTAACTTTCTTCATTACTGTGATTCCTCACATTTCTATGCCACTCTGAAGCATAGAGTGCCATCATTTGCACCCTATTCTAAACAACTTCCACATTCTCCTTCCTCATGTCTGCTTTTAATTCATTATTTCAGGAGATCTTCCTATACTTTTTCACATAAATGTACTGTCTCTTCTATAATTGCTCATTTTCACTCATTTCTTTCACTTATTTTTTTTATTCCCACCAATTCTGAGATCCACTTTTGACACTACCTAAAAATATTGTGTCAATATTAGAATCTTTCTCACCTATATATCCTTGCTAATCTTTAATCTTTCCTTATAAGCAATTAGACATTAAACCAGTTATCATTCATATTTCTTTTTCTGTTTCCTAATGTTTCACTCTCTTTTTCTTCATTTCTTAACTCATTACCAGACAGCCATTTATGTCACCTATGACAACATTTCCCCCCTAGTCACACTCAGAACATTCCACCATTTTTTCTCAAACTCATTTCTGGCTCTCTGATTATCATCTTTCACAGGAGTGAAGCATGCAGTAATCATCAACTTTGGGTGGGTGGATTCCTAGTTTTATATACCCAAACAGACCAGACACCTTCATGAGATCAATTCATAGTTTGTATTATATAATACAACCTTTTCATTCATGATTAAACCTTCACTTCCTTGCATACATTTGTTCAGGCTAATCCACAAAATAAAACCACATTTATATAGATTACAGTTTTGTAATTTAGGCTCCCCATGAAGGTTTTGGTTGATCACGGCTTCTACACTATATCCTGGGTCAACATACTAGATATAATTTGTTTGGATTTTTTTTATTATTTGTGGAATTTATTCACTGCATTACTAGCATTGGACTCTAGGAGATTTACAGGTACATTTGTAGGGTGTAGGCAATTTTTTCTTGTTTTTACAAGATAATTTTTAGAATAGAAATTTTCACTTGGAAGGACACAAGTAAAAATGAGCTGTACTTATATATGGCATATTGTCATAAATGTGCCCCATAATGGGTTGTACTTAGCAGGGAATGGTACATATACAGTACAATGATATTATTCAGGCCTACATCTTGTTCTACATTTTCCCTATCTTACTAAAAAGCATGAGTTTTTAATGTTATACTGTTTAGATTCTTAGATTTATTATGTTTATTGGGATTAGTATTAGCTATACTAACCTAGTGATTTTGGCTCAAGAGAGTTAGAAATATAATAAAAAGCAGGATCATTTCCATAGCAACAATTTGTCCCTAAGCAGCCAATTACCTTGAATACTGGAAATATTATTTGCTAAAACTGGGGAACAATCTATGTGCATCTGTACCACAACTTTATTTAATATGATATAAATGAATGATGATGCACCTTGCATATATACATATACAGGAAAGGCAGAAAGTTCTGACATGAACTATATGGTTGTACCATGAGATATGACCCTGGACTACAAATACTCCTTCAGGTACCAAAGGGTGTCTGAATTATAAACAGATTTGTAGGCTAAAATATAAAGTGTAGGAGGAATCCTGGTTATATTGAGTGATACTTTATATATCCAATAAAGAATTGCATACAGTTCTGAATATTATTAGCAGCATCAAGGAATGTCATACCTATCTTGAAACTTTGTGAAAACTCAGGCAATGCAGTATGGTAATCATTGTAATTTAGGAAAACATCAAGAACCAGTTTTGTAATATATTATGTTATAACTGTACCAGCAAAATATTAAGTAACTAAGTAATTAAGTTAAAGTACATACTTTCAAAATCTGGAAGTGGGATAACTTTCAATGCATCAAACCTCTACTCTTAAATGTATTTAATGAAATCCAAAGGCAACAAAAGGCCTGGGTTCAAAAAAGGTACATCAACATGACTCTTTTAACCAAGAATAAAACAGATCCAATAACAGGAAAGATAGGAAAGAACCTATCAATCTCAAAGTACGATTTTCTATTATAGCAAGCAGTACAAACCCTTTGCTCAAGGATATAGGAGTGTTGGTAGCCTGGGATAGAAGTTTGTAGTGGATGCATAGTTTTTACATATAGGCTATGTATTAGGATTCAAGAATGAAGGTGCTATGCATGATGATTAGATCACAAGCCACTACATTTCATTATACTGAAAATGAAACACTGAACAAATGAAATAGCAAAATGTAATCTTCTCTATTGCATACAAGGCTTCCCTATCTTCATTGTAGAAGAAAGAACAACATAGGTAACAGAATTTCAATCAGAGGTTTTCACAGTTTCAGGAGTGTTAGCAGATGTTTAATTATTCTCTTTCCCTACTGTAATTCCAGAAAACATAAAGCTTCTGTCCTAATTACCCTTTTAACTGTACCCACTTGATAAAAGTATACTATACCATAATGTTGAGAGTTCTGGGTCTGCTCATTTCATCATCACTCTCCAGAGGCAGGATTTCATGTGACAATTCCTCTTGCCGTCGTCTACAAATATGCACACAATTCCTTTGTACCACTGAACGAAAGGCTTGGAGCAGAACAATGCTGGCAGCACAGCCCATAGCTGCATCCTGAAACCCACAAAATAACTTCTATGTTGATGCTATGCTTAAAAAACAGTAGCTCGTTGTCCCTGCAAATAGCCTACAGTGCAGCTGCAGCCAGCCAGCTCCCTCCAATCATTTCCTTGGGCTGTAATCATCTGATCACAACCAGATAGCTTGGATGCAGATATAGGAAAGATTTTATCCACTGTGTGAAACACACGCACTTGCACACAGACACAATTAAGACAGTTTTTATTCTTTTTTTTTTCATGGTGACTGTTTCTGAAAATGCATGAGAACCATTCTGCTTGTTTTAGGAAATAATCCTTCTTCTTGTGATCTCCTAATCACAATACTCGGAGGCTTAAACTAGCTGCTTAATAAAAGCTGGAAAAAGCATGCATAAGTGCCTGCTAACAATCATATACAGGAACTGCAATTATAAAGGAAGCCAAGAGAATGGCCATGGATGAATGAATAAAACAGAGCATCTTTATGCTGATTTAAAGCAGAAATATTTTCTCTAGCCTCTGCTTTGTAGTCAGAGTATAGCAAGCATGCTGGCATGTTAAAGTAAATGGTCACATGAAAATAATAGTAAAAGAATTGTACAGTGCAAGTCCCTAGATGAATGACAAACACTTCTGTTTAGTTCCAACGTGTTTTCTAATTATTTTTGTGGGTGATCCCAAGACAAGTAGCCTAGCTGTTTCTTAGAATTGGACAGTGATGATGGTGATATGGATGGATGGATGGATGGATGGATGGATAGATGGACGGATGGATGGACAGATAGATGCATAGACAGACAGACAGACAGACAGACATATATGCAAGACATAGGTATTATATATGTGGTAAATCTAAGAGCAGCTCATGTTAAAATCATATTATAAAAACACCAATCCCATATCATCACAAAACCAATTAAAAGCATTTAATAATCATTAAATAAAAAGACTGTTTATCAGTTATCAATGAGTACAAAATTAGGAACCTGGTAGAATTTTTTTCCAGTCAACAAATTTTATGAAAAGTCAGAAGTTTCTGTGAACCATGACTCGGATGGCCATGACAGTTGATATTGCAGATTTGGTCTTTAGGGGTAAAAAATCAGAAAGGCATTCTTCTAGGTTTTTATTTTTTATTTGCTATCATAGAGTAACAAGGCTCTACTCCTACAACAACTTAGTATATTGACTCTGGCCAAAAGCAGCTAAAGTATTGACAAATCATATGAACCAGTTCTGACAGAGATCAGGATCTAAATGATGTAGAATTATATAAGAAGGCAAGAGGACTCAAAGAAAATTTGCCCTTCCTTATTCTTTTCTCCTTCCAAATAATCTGAATTTGTTGCAAATGCCTTTTTCTCACTAGGAAATATCAATGGCTTTTTCTGAAACAAGGTCTTCTTGGTAGATCTGCAATTGTATCTGCCTTCACTTTAAAAAAATGTTTATAGTCACTCAGATACAAAGGCACTTGCTGTTTTGGGTGGCAATGGGAGTTCAGTCATTGACTTTCATAGGGATGTGAGCAAGCCTGTAATTCCAGCTGATGTAATCTTTGGAACAGTTCTTTGATGAATCCAATTGCTTAAGAAAACAAGAAAGAGATGGTGCTAGCACAGTTCTTTCAAACCAATTTTGCACAGGGGATGATTAGGCTTTAATTGCTCTGGAAACTTTCACAACAAGGAAGCATTTCAATGAAAATATTTATGAAATGAATAAAGTGACTTTTTAAAAAAACATGTTCACTGTCAATTTTCTTTTTCTGTATCAAGGTAATTCACACTCTTGCACCATGTCCTTCAACTCTGACAGTTATGCACTAAAGCAGTTCAAAGCATGCTTTTTATAGTTCATAATTTCATTTCCTTAGATACAGTTTCAGCAGCATAGTCACAAAACTGTTATCACTTCTGTTTCAAATAAAGAGATTTCACTGCTTCTCATCTGCATCATTTGGATTCCCATTATGTCCCTAACTATCTGCACATTGGGAGGAAGCAGACTTTTTTTTTTGGCATATTCTTGGCAGCCACTGAGACCAAAGGTCTTGTCATGGCTAATCATAATATTATCAGTCTGGCAGTGTAACTCCCTTCGTGGCTTATGTCTTTTCCTGTTACCGTGACTGCTGTATGGTCTTGCCGATATTAATATGTCTTACATGTCAGGCACTGCTCTTACTTTATACTTCCACACAGGGCTGCTCACAAAATGCTTTTAAGATGTTTGGTTTCCATGGTTACAATATCTAGTTCTGCTATGCAGTTCAATGCAGATTATTCCCCCTCCCCAAATCCCTTAAAATCTATGGAAGTAAATACCTATAGAAGTTAATAGTACTGGATCAAAGCCAGTCTTTCTGAACATTTTCATAAGGATTGATTAGAAAGGGAGAGAGTGCTTTCAGGTTGTGCCTTGAAACACAATTGCGACATATTCACTTCTTTGAAGATCCTACTCACAAACTTCTTGATCTAAGTGGAAAAAAAAGTGGCCATTAAAAAATTTGGAGACCATTTTTTTTAGTTGTGTTGTGGTAGTTTCTGTACGTACAGTACAAACCTTTCAACTTTAACAATAAAACATAAATGCAGTACCCGTGTCACTGTCCAAGACAGATTTTCAAAGGACTTCACAGCCTTTGTAAGATATAGAAGACAAACTTTAAGCCATTAAGATAAACAATTGGCACAATTAATACAAATGGAGTCGACATTAAAGTAATAATTTTTAAACCTAACATCCAAACCCACAAATGTGATATGGTTGAGCAATGTCTTAGAGCAAGATTGTCAAGCTCCCAGCCAATGGGCTGGATGCATCACGCGCTGGCCATGCCCACGGCTGGTTTAGCGAAGGGGAAAAATGTCCTGATACGTCACGTGATACCGCCGTGATGATGTGAGTTTGAGACCCCTGTCTTAGAGAGAACTCTGCAGTCATTTGACATTATCAAAAGAATTAAAAGTCTATCAGAAAATTACAATTGGCTTTTAACACTGCAATGTCTGTGTATCAATAGACATTGGATGGATAAAGAAACAATTGTGCAAGTGAGATTTGCTTTAGTTCCTTTTGCTCTATTGACAAATTTATTTTATTTCTGTATAAGCAATTGAGTTCTATACCAATTCTTTTTGTTTTCCCTTTTTTTATATCTTTTGAACTGCCAAATTGTTCAAAGAATTTATGATGTGAATAATTCCCCAAGTTTTATTCACACATTACTATTCACAAGTTTTATTTATTTGCAATAGACTTTAATTGTTCTGAAGGTTATGAAGAAAACAACCCTATTCAATTTTATTTAGTGGAATTTACGGCAGTCTTATATGTAATCCTAATATAATTCCTACTGAATTAATGCAACTTGCTTCTACAGAAACATATGGGATAGGAGCAAATCCAAATATTTATTGGATTGTTTCCTTTGTACTGATACTTAAGAATTCCCAACCAACATGCACATGCATGTATAATAAAGAGAGTCAGTATTTACATTTCCTCTTTGTAATGTACAGTATGAATGAATAACAAGCAACTGTTATAACTATAAATCTCCAAATAGTAGGATTCTTGGTATTCTATCTGGCTCTTCCTACTGTCATCTCTCCTCCTATTCCTTACTAGGAAGATTTTAACAGGGTTATCATATATGAATTGGGCCTAGGAAACTGGGGCTCTCTATAGAGAGAATTGGGCTATGGAATATGACTGCTTGCTAGATCACTACTAGATGGCAGGAAGATAGCTACAAGAAGTAAATATTTACCTAAGTATATGTCCACAGAGCTGTATGTATAGGCATAACTAAGGATCAACAAGTAGTTCGCTTGTTTCTCAGCTGTGCACTGCTATACTTCATGCTGCCATCCTGCCAGTTCTTCCTGTTCCCTTCCTGTTTTATATGAGCTCCACATCTGTACAACACTCCAACCAAACTTGCTCTTCCTATTGCTAAACAATACAATACATAAGTGACAAGTTAATAGCAAATACAATAAGTATTTTGTAAAAACCATTTCAGTGCATTGTATGACACATTTTTATTATGCTTTGTAAATAAAGCACTGTAGTATTTTAGGAAGCTTTTTAGGAAGATTTAAGGGATTGATCAAGTCACTTAAATCATGCCAGGAATGGCAGCTGGTTGTCCTCCAGTTTTTGAATGACTAAAGCTAGAAGCATTATTTTTTAATAATGGAGCCAGCCCTCTGGAATGGTCTTCTTTTGGAAAATTGTCTGTCTCCAACTATGTCCAAGAAAAAGCTGGCAATAGAGCTTTCAGAGGGTTTGGTGCCTGATGCCCTGCACCTGTGTTGGGGTTTTATTTGTTTTATGCTTCTTATTTTTTGCGCTGCCGAGAGAACTGTGATTGTAGTAAAATATAGGTTTGATTAATAAATAATTTATAAATGACAAATAAAGGATAAAGGGATTATTAAATGAACAGAGTATAAAGCAACATTTGGGGCGGGGATACACAGGTGTTTTATTGGTTTTACTTGCAGGACATTGCTTGGGAATGATTTACTATTCACATAAGCCTTAAAACCAATTCGGGAATTTTTCTATGGGTATTGTGAAATTGATCAGAAAAAAAATAAAGCTCTGTACAGAACACTGAGAGACAATTTGCTAATAAAATTATAGTGTGAAATTGACCAGACAATAAGAGGGACAGTAAGGGAAGAAGACAAAAGGAATGGACAGCCTATTTTCCTTTATGCAAACAACTGGTAATCTTCTCTCTTTCCCTTTCTTCATATGGGCAAGATGAAACAATCAAGAACCAAACTTCTTGACATTCACAAGTTGAAAACTGTAGTGAAAAAAACCCAAGACATATGGAAGCAACTGGAATTGCATTTGCAAAGCTAAAAAAATCTGACCTTTACAATATGTCCCCCCCACACTTTTTTTTTAAAGACACAGCAATTGTGTTTGGAAAAGTACCATAGCAAAATAGATATTTGCCATTACACAGACACACTATTC